CGAGAAGTGTACCTTACGCCGTCGCATGCACTTTTAAATAGTGCTGTAGAGGCTTGACCCTTCAGCTGCCTCTCAGGCTTTTTCTGTGTGGCCGCAGCAATGCTGTGCAACTACTGCGGGCACCTGCGGACCAAGAAGCAGTGGGAGCCAAGTTTGTGGGCAAGCAGCACTCCCGACTTGCCATGTAAGTGCTGCAAAGGGGACCCGTCGGTCCTCAATGCAGCACTTGAGCTCCCTCTTTTGAGGGCCAAGTGGCTGGCGGCGAGGCTTGGCCCGCAACAGCAGGCCTTGCTTCGCTGGCATGCGGCCGATGCACTGGAGCAGATGACGGAGGATGGGTTCGACTGTTGGCACGACAAGTACCATCAGCGAATCTCACAGGGACATTCGATTTTCAAAGAAATCGGAAATCCCCTGCTGGTCTTCCTGAAGGAGCTCATTGGCTTGTATATAGGACAAGCCAAGGTGCAGGAAAAGGCCGGGCGAGCTGTGGAGGCAGTTCTCGCCTTCCTGGAAGAGAAGCGGCTCGGCATGCCGCTGCAAGCCTCCGTGGAGCTCGGCCGCTTGCTCAAGGACGTCGCCATCCTGCAGGAAGTGCTGGTAGAAGTCCACCTCTTGACCGACAAGGTGTGGTTGGTGACAGACCTTGAAGGCCTAGGGGCTTTAAAGGTCTAGGCCTGAATAGGCAAGGCTTCGCCTGCCGCCGGTGCATGTGCGAGGCTTTTGCTGGGATTTCTATACCCCAGCCATGCTGAACAATTCTATAGGTTCTAGATCCTCTGCAAGGCCCTTGCACATGCGGAATAGGACCAAGGTCCGGAAATAGCACCAGGGCCACAAAAAACGCAGCCTGCAGGTGCCAAAAAATATATAAGAGTGCTGCAAGTGATAAGAGTGCCGCAGGCGATATTGTTTCTGCAAGTTTTCAGCAGGTTTCAAACTTGCGCTCCTGAGCTGCAGAAGGCTCAAGTGAGAAAACTTTCTGCGAGAGGAAGGCTTGCCTCCTTCGCCATGGCTGCGCAGGAGGTGCAGGACGTGCTGCAGGACGTGCCGGAAAGGCACGTGAAGGCAGCCCTCAAGGCCGTGGAGGACCTAAAGCTTCGGCCAGAAGACCTACACGCCTTGGTCCGCCTGCAGGATGAGGCTTGCAGGCCCGACGGCAAGGTGCCCCTGAGCCAGAGCTTCGCCTTTTTTTTGGCGAACGAGATGTGGTGGTTGGAGCAAGGATCGGGGCACTGTGCCTGCTTGTCCTGCTACAGATGCTACATCTCCCCGATGCTGGGAGAAAAAGATCGAAAGGCCCTGGAGTGTATCTCCGCCGACTGCCGCTGCGACTACAAGGACTGAGCCTTGCAGAGGCTTGCCCTGCACGAGCTAAACTGGCCAACAGCGCCGTGCACAGAAAACCCCCGGGGAGAAGAGGGTTTAAAAGAAGTGTTCTGCAACGGGACCTATATATGCCCTTGCAATCTGTCCCAGCCCCATGCATAAATTCAGTTTGCCATGAGCATGACACAGGCTGTAAATCCGCGGCGTTGGTTCAAGAGCACAGCAGCAGGAGGCTTGTCCCCTGCAGGCATGTCGGCCAGGCCGGCAAAGAAGCCAGCTGCCAAGGCTCCGGCAAAGAAACCGGCAGCAGATGCTGGAGTGGAGCTGCCCGAAGGCGAGCAGCTGCCCAAAAGGGAGCTCACATGTGAGCTGCCCTCGGTGCAGCCGCCAGAGGGCTGGCAAGCGCCGGTCTTCACTCGGCCGCTGAACGTGGCGGTGCCCTGCACGGGCATCGATGGCTGCGGCCACGCTTTGCAAGTCCTCGGCATCACGGATGCACGCTTCTCCATGGTGCATGATGTCGAGGGCAGGTACGAGCGCTATCTGCAGGACCACCTCCCTGCAGATACGCTTGTCCATGCGGGCAAGGCAGGAGACATCACTGCCCTTGCCCGCTCCATGGACAAGGTCCAGCGGCCCGTGGACGTGCTGGTGAGCGGGCCACCCTGCCCGCCGTGGAGTCTGCAAGGCAAGCGACAGTCCACGCTGGACGCAAGGAGCTGGGTCCTCATTGCCGTGATCAAGCTCGCGGTGATGTTGATCATGGTGGGCGAGCTCTCCGCCATGGTGATCGAGAATGTCGTGGGCATCTCGCAGAAGCTGCCTGGGCAGCATGAGCCTTTCATGCAGGCGCGGAAGGATGCGGTTTCATCATGCATGAGGCCATGCCCATGCATGCACATGCGGAGGCATTGCTCCCTGCAGCGTGGACATGCATCATGCAGGGCTTGTCCCACAGGTGCGAGTTCCATGGGGTTTTCTGTATAGATTCCCTGCAGGTGCTCCTGCGTGCGGAGGTTGCCCAGTTCAGTTGGGGCTTTCACTGCCTCAGCGCGGTGGACTATGGCTTGCCACAGCAGAGGACGAGAGTCTTTCTCGTCGGCATCCGCTCAGGCTACGGCGGCGTGCCACAGCCGCTGGGGCCTTTCGGCCGGAGAACTCTTCGGGAGTTCTTGGCACCCGGGCTGCCCCCCGTGGACGTCTCCAAGCTGACGGCCAGCTTGAAGAAGAATCTGGCCGATGCTTGGCGGGCGCTGCGGAAGCTGGCCGCTGAGGGCAGCACCGCTTCTGTGGTGTGTTGGCCGCTTGACCGGTCGGAGGGCATGACGTACCCTCGGAAGTTTTTCTTTGATGTGGCGCCGACCCTGACGACGGCCAACACCCGCCTCTTCGTCGCCTCCATGGACGACCTGCACATGGGGCCGCAGCAGCGTGCCTTCTGGCGCTTCTTGCGGTGCGAGGAGCGGATGGCTCTGCAAGGCTTCCCGCCGAACACCCTGCAGGGTGAGAGCGACGCTCTGAGGACGAAGGCGTCCGGAAACGCCTACCCGGTGTCTTGTCTCATATATACATGATCTTGATGTGTGTATACAGTGGTTTTTTCTATGTTGATCGGAAGTCTATATGAGGTTCCTCTCATGATGGCCGTTTTGGGGCCGCTCCTGAGAGCCATGTCGGAGAAGCAGGAGTTGTTGCACGACGGCCCGTGCAGGCCCTGGCAGGAGGCAAGCTGGCACATTATAGAGAACTCTTGGTCACTTTTTTGGACGAGGGTTTAGAATATGTGCACCCTGGCAGGGATCAGCGGCGGCGAGCCGCTTTGAGGCGCAGATCAGCAAGGCGGTGGCTGCGAGCGATGGACAGTCGTCGGCCGCCGAGCAGTCGGCAACTGTGAAGAAGAGGCCTGCATCGGCCGTGGCTGCTGGGCCAGTGAAGAAGAAGCCGGCTAAGCGCTGCTGCAGCAGTAGCAGCAGTTCCTGAGGGTTCCGCAGCCTCAAGGCCACGGCGCGGACTCGCAAGGCAATGTCCTGCCACGGCGAGGCTTGCCCGCTTTTTTAAAACAACCTGGTTTTTGAACTCAGCGACTGCAGTGTGACCGTGCACGTGAAAACTCTTCAGGCTTCCTCCGTGCAAGTGATGTATAGCTGTCGTGTGTGCATGCATTTGGGTATATTGCTCTGATTTATTGGCTGCAACGCCGCAACGCCGGCTCGCAGTTTTTGGTGCAGAGGCCTTGCCCTGCTTTGTCCCCAAGCCGCCTTGCTGCAGCATGTCTCAGAAGCGGCTGGAAGAAGCCTTGGAATTCCTAGGAGCCCTCGAAAAGAGCGGCATTGGGAAGAATGAGGATAATCTTCGAAAGATGGTGGATGGTGTAATCAGAGATTTGCTGTCCGCTCCGGACATGTGCTTTGCGCAAGCCAGCAAACTGCTGGCGCAGATCACGCAGAGCGGCTTGCGCCAAAACCTGAAGGAACTTCTGGTGGAGGCGCTGCAAAGCAAAGTTTCGGCCGACGCTGCCGGCGAGGCTGCTGAGGAAGTTGCTGCCAAGGCCGAGAAGAACACGAAGAAGCTCCAGAAGTGCAGGCATCTGGAGAATTACCTGCTTGAGACGGAGTGGGAGCAGCTTCGTAACCCGAAGCGGTCTTGGGATGACAAGCTTCGGCTCCTTGCCCGCCGATACGTGAGCATCGGCCTGACGTGTCCTTCGGAAAGAACGAGCAAGTATGCTCTTGTGGTGCTGTTTGTCGCAAACTACAATGGTGATGGGGGTATCAACACCCTCAGCATCAATGCGCAGCAGGCCTACAGCTGCTTGCAAGACTTCAAGACGATGGTGAAAGCTTTTGCAAAGCAAGGCGAGTACTCCAAGCTCCTGCTCTACCCCGCCAGCCCAGCTGACTTGCCACGGGAGCTTTACTTGAAGGCCTACGGGACCGAAACCCCGTCTGCCAGTCCGCTGGCAGACTCAGACCTGGTCCTTGTGGACTCCGCCCTGCCAGCCCGGAAGACGCACAGCAGCGTGGATCGGGCCAAGACCCCTTTGCGACTCACAGGCCGGGACACGCACCTGCAGGAGGCTATGTCCCAGCTGTTTCTGCAGTTGTTTGAAGGCAGATGCAATGGAGGCTTCTCTGCAGGCTGCAGCGGAGCAGCACTCAAGATGCTGCAAGGCGCCCGGAAGAGGCCGTTGGCGCTCATGAACGGTGGTGAAGACAGCCAGGGCGGCAGCGAGACTGCAAGCCCCGACCAGAAGCGCAGCAAGCAAGCTGTGCAGCAGGCGGAGGAGGAGGAAAGCAAGGAGGAAGCCGCCGAGCCGCTTGCTCTGGAGCCGCCCGAAGCGGAAGAAGCCGTGGATGACATAACTTTGAAAATCGCTGAGCAGCTGCAGCAAGGAAAGGACGAGAAGGCCGCAGCCAGGGCGGAAAAGCCTCAGGCGAAAGCCAAAGCAAAAGCCAAGGCAAAAGCCAAGGCAAAAGCCAAGGCAAAAGCCAAAGCAGAAGCCAAAGCCAAAGCTGTTGGAAAAGTATTGGACTTTCCAGGCACGGAGGCAAGAGATGCCATCAGTGTGGGCAACTTTAGGATCTACACGGCGGTGAATTCCCAAGCCTACCGAGTGAGGCCGCGGGGAGAAAAGAAAGACAAGGCTTTCAGCTGGAAAGCGACAACTGCCGAGGAGGCTTGGAACCGCGTTGTGTCCTACTTGAAGGAGCAGAAAGCGTGAGGTTGCGCGAAACTTGACATGCAGAGGCTCGCCCTGCATGCAAGCTGGTTCCAGATGAGCGGTTTGCCGCTGCACTCTCGACAAAATGCAGAGGCGTGCCCTGCATGCAATGTGTTTCCAAGCTTGCGGCTTGCCCATGGCTCGGTCAGCAACCTTGTATATAGCCGCGGCTGTAATGGTGCATGACCGGGGGCTTGACCTCCCGCGAGGGGATCGAGGAAAATGAGCTGATGCACCATTGCCTGCAAACTCGCTTTTACCTGCATGCAAACCATTGCACAACCCATCATGGTCGCATTGTTTACTTCCAAAATATAGCAAGCTGCGTACCCGCTTTCACATCCAGAACAACCCAAGTAACAACCCAGTTGTCAAAACATGCTCCGTTTTTTACATCCGTAACAACCGAAAATAACAATCCGCAAACCCGCTTTACATCCGTATAAAGCGAAAAATATATACCCGCGAACCCGTTTTTACATCCGGAACAACCGAAAAATAATAACCCAAGTGGTCAAAACATGATCCGTTTTTATACCCGTAACAGCCGATAAACAACAACCCACATGGTCAAAAAATGCTCTCTCGCAAACCCCCCAGAATCGGCTCTCGCAGAATAGTTATAACTGATCCTAAGTTGTCTACGAGGAAGCCCATACCGCCGCAGTTATAACCACGTTTATACATGCTATAAGCACAGCGGCCGCCTAAGTAGTGATGCTGAGGTCCTCGCGCAGGCCATTTTGGCCAGAGGGTCAGGGATTACTAAGCAAGATGTTGGTCAGATTTTCGATCTTTTGCCCAAGGAGATTCCTTCTAGAGGAACCTCCTCGCAGCCTCCGAGCAGTTTCAGTTGTGGGGCCTACGCAAAGGGTGGATTGCAGGGTCTTCGGAGTGAATGTGCGCTGTTTCCATCCTGCATAAAGCTCCTCACTGCTTTTGTTCGCACCTTTTTGCCAGAGCATTTCTTCACGACTATCAGTTTGTTTCACAACACCAAAACCGATTTGCATGTCGATTCTAGGAACCATCGTACCCCCAACGGGGTCATTGCCGTGACTTCTTTTCAAGGAGGTGGCATCTGGATTGCCGATGGATGCGGGCCTCACAAACGGACAATCAAGGGTGACATCGTGAAAGGCTCAATCCTTAGCCTCGAGACCCCGATCACTTTTGATGCCTTCAAATACCCTCACGAGACGGAAAGCTGGGTTGGCGATAGATTGGTTTGCGTGGCCTTCACTGTCGCTAGCCTTGAGAAAATCCCAACTGAGTCAGCCAGGACCTTGCTTGATCTAGGGTTTAGGCCCCCGCCTGATCTTTCCTTCCCCATTCCTGTGACTGCCCAGGAGCAGCCGCCTGTGAAATCAGACTCCTGGGTTTACGAGCTCTTCGCTGGCACTGCCCGCTTCAGCAAGGCTTGCAAGGATTTGGGTTTTCGGGTTTTAGGGCTAGACAGTTCTTGCCATAAAGCGGTCTCTCCTGTGGCCAGGCTTGATCTGACCTTAGATTCGGCACAGTCGATCTTTTGGGATCTCATTAAGGAGTGCCCTCCTTTTCACGTGCATGCATCGCCCCCTGCGGGCACGGCTTCTCGCTCTCGTGAGCGGCCCTTGCCAAAGAATCACGCCCTTGCCTCTAAGGCCCCTAAACCTTTGCGATCCGATGATTTCCCACTAGGCCTACCGTCACTGTGCAGCGTCTCAGCAGAGCCTTGCCGTGCGCAAGGACAATGTACTGTATCGCTTCGTTTACAAGCTTTTGCTACATTGTTCTGCTTCAGGCATCAATGTCAGTGTCGAGAATCCCCGGACTTCGCTTTTCTGGAAGGTTCTTCAGTGCTTTGCCGAGGCCGAGGGCTTGCTCTGGCCTCCGGCCGCCTTGGAGTACGTTGATTTCGACCAGTGTTGTCATGGTTCCGATCGCCCGAAGTCCACTCGTTTCTTGTGCACTCGAGGCTTGTTCCACTCGCTTCGAGCTACTTGTCCAGGCAATCACGAGCATCGCCCGTGGGGCCTTGTGTTCCATGAGCGTTCTATGCAGTTGTCGTCTTCTTCCGTGTCGGCATACCCCGTTCTGCTTTGCAAACGCATGGCCTCCTGTCTGGAGAGCGCGGCTTTGTTCCTGGGTCTGTCTTTGCAGGCCTCTCCTGACCTGGCAGCCAACTCTGTTGCTGTTCTTGGTCGGCAGCACCGCCGATTTCCCCCCTTGATTCCTGAGTTTCGCAAGGTCACTTGGGAGCCGCCCTCTTTCCAGCCTGACGACTCTTGTCGCATCCTTCTCTCTCAGATTGCTGGGGAGGATAGCGGGAGAGAGAATGCAGCCGAGGACGCCGACAAGGAGGTGAACCCTCCTACAAAGCTCCCCAGAGTCGCAGATAAGGTGTCCAGCAAGGTTCCCTCCTCGGGTTTCCCTAATAGTTCCGACCCTCCCCAAGGTTCGGTTAAGGTAGGGTGGTACTTGTCGATGCAGGATCACGTGGCAAAGGCCTTGACCTTAAAGCATCCCGTCGACACTGCCGTAGCCCTTGATCAGGATCAGCTTGATGCCATCAGCTTCTGCATGAAAAACACAGAGAAGGAGGTGGTAGATCATCGTAAGCTTCAACTCTTGAAGATAAAGATCCTCGCCAAAAAGTTTGAGGCCGACGAGGCTCGATTGCATTCTTCTTTCGACCCTTGGTTCGAGAAAGTTGTGGCGGGAAAGCGTCTTCTTCTGTGGAAACACCTTCTTGAGCAGAACAATTTCGATGACATGCAAGTTTGCGATTTCATGATGTCGGGCGTCCCGATTGTCGGGCAGTCAGCCTGCCCTCAGCCTTTCAGCCGAAAGATTGTGCCGGCTACCATGACGGAGCAGGATCTCAAGGGTACCGCTTCGTTTCGCCGGAAGGTCATGACTGGATCCAGTGGCATGCAAGCAGCCGATCTACAAGACTTGCTGTCGAAGGCTACGTTGGACGAAGTCGATCTGGGCTTCCTGGAAGGCCCATACACCGAGAGCCAAGTGTCTGCTTTCTTCCACTCTGACGATTGGAACTGCATACGAAGATTCCTGATCCTTCAAGGAGCCGAGAACAAACCTAGACCCATAGATGACGGGCATGAGGCTTTGATCAACAATTGCTTCACAGCCACCATAAGATTGGAGCTCCAGAACTCTGACTTTGTGGCGGCTCTAGCGGCAAGGATTGCCATCGAAGAGGCTGAGAGATCTCGCGCTACAGGCGAGCCCCCAAGGTCGTGGCTGGGCAAGTGCCTCGATTTATCGAAGGCGTACAAGCAGATGCCAATGAAGAAGGAGCACCGCTCTCTCGCTGTGATCTACCACAAGGGCCCTGCAGGCGAGGATCAATTCTTCATTGCAAATTCGCTGCTCTTCGGACTCACTGCTTCGGTTTACGGGTTCGTGCGCACGAGCAGAAGCCTTCACAAACTGCTGCTTAAGATTTTCAAGTTGCCCAGCTCAGTGTACTTTGATGACTTTCCGATGTTTTCGACATCGCTTTCTTCCAGTGACACTGACGGCATCATCAGCGAATTCTTGGACATTCTGGGCTGGGGCCATGCCAAGACAGGCAGCAAATCACACCCCTTTGCGGAAGTTTTCTCCGTTTTGGGAATGCAGGTCGACTTGAGCAACTTGTCGAAGAGAAGCATCGTCCTATCGAACAAACCTGGCAGGATCGATAGGATCGTGGAGAAGCTTGAATCCGTGGCTGCTTCGGGTTTCCTTACGATTCACCAGGCTCAGATTCTGCTGGGCTTGCTCAACTTCTCATCGGGTTTCTTTGCCGGTCGTGCCCTCAAGCAATCTTGCAAATGGCTATCTGGTTTTCTGGCTGGAGACAGGCCTTCGCCAAAGACCGTCAGCGAGATGTGCAGGCACACGGTCAAGATTCTTTTGAGCACGCCGCCCCGCTTCATAAGCTGCGATTCGACTGGAGAGCCTCCTATCCTGATATGGACTGATGGAGCTTGGGAGCCTGCCAAGGCCTTCGCCGGGATCGGTGCAGTAATTCTTGATGCGAGCAGCGGCGTATCTAGAGTTTTCCAAGGTCAGGTTCCAGAGCGCCTCGTGGTTCGCTGGCGTGAGGAGGTCGGGGAGCAAATCATCTGCGAGGTAGAGCTTTATGCTCTCCTGATGATCAGGGCCGGCCTTCAGAACTTTCTTTCAGGAAGACGAATCATTTTCTTCATTGACAACGATGCCGCTAGATCTGTGGTGCTGCGCGGTCAAAGCAGAAGCGAAGCGATGCATCGCTTGGCCATGGCTTTGTCCATGGTCGATGCCGTCGCCCCTTGCATATCGTGGATAGAGAGAGTGCCATCATCTTCGAACATCGCGGATTGGCCCTCCAGGGGCGAAGGTTGGAAAGCTCAGAAGGTCGTTCGTGCAGTGAAGGTGGAGCCTTACTTCTTCGATCAATCTTTGATTGATGCTTACCTGCTCTGAGTTCGTCGATCCGAGGGGGTGTGTTCGGGACAAACTCTGAGCGGCTTCAGGCCCGTGCTCTTCGCATCGGCTGCGGCCCGGATGCCATGGTTCCGAAACTGAATTCGTTCGAACCCCTGATCGCTGAAGAGAAAAAGAAGAATGCGCGACCTTCTCTGCTGCCAACTTTTTATTTGGAACGGGAGATACCTTTGAGCCTCGAGCTCGACTCTTTTGATTGAGTCATATAATTGTGAGTTGGATTCATTTGAACATATCGGATTGCGAAGTTTTTAATATATTTATCGTGTACTTCATTGCGAGAATACCTTGTACACGATTGCCGGTAAGTGCATCTTTCAAACATCGCTGATTTTAAAGAAGAAACTTTTCTGCCTGCAGACTTTTCTTTCTTTGAAATCGGCGACAGGCCGCAGGCCGTGTTTGACAATTGGCCACAGCACATCATGCTATTTATTCCCCCCCCCCCTTTTTGGGGTGGGTTTTTTATGAAGAATATTTGACATGCTTCATCGATTTTTGTTGCATGTCCATGTTCCTTGGCATCTCTGATGATACTCTTGTGTCTGACGAAGTGACTGCTCGAGCTGAGCTTTTAAAACTTTTCCCCGCCCGCCCGACCCAGACATCTACGAGGGAGGGGGGTGTGTTCGGGACAAACTCTGAGCGGCTTCAGGCCCGTGCTCTTCGCATCGGCTGCGGCCCGGATGCCATGGTTCCGAAACTGAATTCGTTCGAACCCCTGATCGCTGAAGAGAAAAAGAAGAATGCGCGACCTTCTCTGCTGCCAACTTTTTATTTGGAACGGGAGATACCTTTGAGCCTCGAGCTCGACTCTTTTGATTGAGTCATATAATTGTGAGTTGGATTCATTTGAACATATCGGATTGCGAAGTTTTTAATATATTTATCGTGTACTTCATTGCGAGAATACCTTGTACACGATTGCCGGTAAGTGCATCTTTCAAACATCGCTGATTTTAAAGAAGAAGCGGCTCTCCGTGTCCTGCGTGGTGAGCATGCGGTCGAAGAGCTTCGGGTCCGCCATGGAGCGGCTGGCCAGCTGGGCCACCAGGGCCTTCTCGAAGCCGGCCAGCTCCTCCTTCGCCGCCTCATTGGGCTCCAGGCACAGGGGCAGCCTCCTGGCGTCCTCGCCGTTGTAGGCCGTGGGGTGCCACAGAATCCGGATCCAGTCGCACTGCCAGACCGCCGGGCCGCCATCCTCCGCGCACACGGGGAAGAACTTGCCGCACTTCGGGTTCGCCAACAGGTCTCCGAGCTTGATCGCCATGCCTGGCTTGCTGCTCATCCTCCCTCTTCCTCCCCCAATAAAAAAAATGCCACCACCCGAACGCACCTCCTCCCCCATGCTGCCGGGAGAGTGCCTCTGTGTGGGACTGGCCCTGACCGGCGTCATCCTCGCCCTGTGGCTCCTGTCCGCCCCCGGTGCGCCGCCCGGCCACCACCCCATGCGGCTGCGAGGGCCGTGGCACGAAGGCAACATCACTTAAATGTGTCTCCACGAGTGCTACAGGGCGCTTTGGTTAAATGGGAAAGGTGAAGCTCTTCCCGAGCGCGAGCTACGACGTCAAGCAGCCGCGAGACCCGGCGGTCTGCAGGACGCCCTCCAACGGCATCCTATGCGCGCCGTCCGCGTCCGGGAAGACCGTTCTCCTCGTGTCAATGATACTGGAGCAATACAGGGGCTGCTTCGAGCGCGTGTACATCCTGAGCCCGAGCATTGACATGGACCCCCAGTGGGAGCCCGTGAAGGAGTACATTCGGAAGGACCTGGGGGTCAACACGGACCGCGAGCAGTGCTGGTGGGATGACTGGGACGAAGCTGCGCTCAGGCAAATCCTGGCCCAGCAGAAGAAGATCACCCAGAAGTCGAAGCAACTGGGCATGAAGAAGCTCTACCAGGTCCTGATCGTGATCGACGATCACGCGGATAACCCGGCCGTGCACCGCAAAACTGGCGATGGGATCCTGGACACTCTGTTCATTAGAGGCCGACACTACTGCATAAATACCTGGGTGAGTACCCAGAAACTCCGACTCATGAGCAGCGCCGTGCGCGTGAACACCATGTTCTATTGCGTCTTCCGCTTGCGCAACCAGCTGGAATTAGATGCGCTAGTGGAGGAGCTGAGCGCCATGCTCCCAAAGGACGTCCTCTACGGAATGTATCAGGAAGCCACCAGGGAGAAATACTCCTTCTGGTACGTCAACATGCGAGCCCCGAAAGAAGACATGTTTTGGGTGCGATTCGACCGCAGATTTCTCGTAAACGAGCATGGGGACGATCCTCAGCCAAGTGGTGGGCAAGCTGCTGGGCAACGGCCCGATCTGCGACAGTGAGTGCCATCATGTGCAATGCTGCACGAGCACGCAGGGCGTCGTGGACCCGCGGCGGCTTCCCTACCCGGAGCGGGTCCGGCAGGTCAGTGACAGCACGGCCTCCGACAAGTCAACAGGCCGGAGCTTCTGGCGTAGAAAGAAAAGGATGTCGACAACGATCTATGTCGATAGCAGGAAGCGGACTGCTGGTGACTCCTCCTCCTTCGAGATAGACATCGGGGAGACCATTCATTTGCAGACAGGTGCCAAGCTCTCCGTCTTCAAGTTCAGGGTGGCGGACGCTTTCCTCAGCACGGACCGGGGACAGTACTTGTACTGGATCGACGAAGCGCTGCAGACCCTCAACTGGGCAGTGCTGCCCATCGGGGCCTACACGGGGACGCGGCTGGCCGCTTGGATCAGCAGCAACTTTGCTTCGGCGACGTACGTCGAAAGCACAAACGAGATAGGCGTGGCCTACGATGGCAACCGCCGCATACTCAACGACTACGAGATCCGAAGCCTGTTCCCAGGCACTGGTTCTTACCCCGCCGGCGCCACTCCCAGCCGGCCGCTCTCGATCAATCACCTCCTGGGCCCCAGCTTCATCGACGGGGCGCTGCAAATCTTCACCTTTGTCACGATGAATCCGTTCTCAGAATTGCTGCTCAGGTGCGGCACCCTTGCCACCGCCGCAGACATCAAGGGACCCTTGGGTAACGATATAATCTGCAAAATGATTATCGACAAAGGCGTCGGCAATATCATGCAAACAAGAACAGACGAGGGGCATTTTGTGAAACTCCACGGCCCGATTACCCTGCGCACCCTCCGTTTCAAGCTCACCGACGTAGATGGCAATGTCGTGAATACCCGCGGGACCAGCGTTTCTTTTGCGATTTTCCTGGATTACGACAATTAATATCTTTAATCAAGAAAATGGCTGAGAATGAACCCGTGGACGAGCCTGCACCTGTGGCAGAGCCTGTGGCAGAGCCTGCGGCAGAGCCTTCTCCAGAGCCTGAGCCGGCTCCGGCCGCCGTGCCCCCGCCGGAGCCCGCCAAGCCCGCGGAACCCCCCGCCCCCAAGCGGAGAGGCAGACCTCCAGGCTCGAAGAACAAGCCAAAAGCCCCGAAGACGGTGCCCGCCGAAGAGGCCGTCCCAGCACCGGCTCCCGAGCCCGCGCAGCCTCCGAAGGCTCCGAGTCCGGCTCCCGCCCCTGCCGCCCCCGAGCCCCCCGCAGAGCCCGTCAGGATGACGCCTGCGCAAGAGCGGGCCCTAAGGTACATGGCCCGCCAGGACCGGTACATGGAGCTGCTCGCACGAAACACGCACGAACTGTAAAAGGATGATGCCCCTCGAGAGGCGCAACGAACCCTTCATGCTTCGGCAGTTCCACAAGATGTACCCCAGCTACAACATCAATCCCCTGCTGCGCCGGCGGCACCAGCAGCTCGTCCAGGCGCAGGCCTTCAACGAGTGGCTCTCCAACCGCCGGTTGCGGCAGGAGGGCGAGACCTACGCCGACGAGCTCGGCCGGATGACGGAGGCGGTCAACCGTCGCATTCCGCAGTTGCGCTATGCCCCGGCAGAGCGCCAGGGCGTTCACAGGATGGCTCGGGACGTGGCCGCTGGTAGAAATACCAGCGACTCCCAGGTGTATGGCGGTGTTATGTGAGATGAAGCTGGATCTGCAGCTCGCGAAGCGCGATGGCATGTGGCTGCTCTCCAGTCCGGATGCCGAGATTCCCCTGGCCTACGAAGAGGACCTGGCCGACGACGACGGCCAGGAGATCCTGCGGCTCCTGGGCCGGCGGTGGACCCGCCCCCAGAGGGTGCTTGTGCGCTTCGACCCCGAGACCAAGACGGTCCTGAGCTACCTGTGCGAAATCGTCCAGCGGGCCAGCGAGCGATCATACTTGGGCAAGCGAGGACTCAAGATCCATGTAAATGGAGGAGCGTAGAAGCAACGGCTTCCGCGTCAAGCCCTCCTTCGGCCAGGTCCTCGGCTACTTTTGTCACTTTGCACGCAGCATGTCAATGCCTTGCGACAGGGCTCGTACGGCAGGCATCAGCCCGGCACCTTAAAGATGCGAAGGTGGCAATTCCACCCCCCATGCCCAGGGAACAGCTACCTCGGAAGGTCCTAGTGAGCATGATGCGATTGATCACACTCGAAAGTAGGTACAACTAACTACAGTGCACCTCCACTCAACTCTCAGCTCGAATACACAGCACAGCATACACTTCAGAGTAATGTTGCGATGACGGGTGCACAATACATTCCGGAGCTTTGTTGTCATCGCAGTGCCACATACAGAAGTCATCAATAAGCATGGTGGTGTAATGGCCGCTCGCCGGAGAACGACCGCGATGACAAATCACTGCAACTGGCTTGTAAAGTACATAATGCACGTCCGACCCATGTACATCAGAGAAAACAGGAATGTTGAAGTTGTCAATCATGTGTTTTACAGCCACTTGCAACCTTCTCAGACGGCCCGATGAATCATTCCGGAATCGCATAACCTGCATCAGGATAAGATTTGGAGGCCGATGAAAAGCGCAGACAGTTGCATGTGTAGCCACCTCCCAATGCGAGATCATCATATGTATGGAGGATCGGTGCCTTGTCGGGTGTAGCGTCATCACATGTCCAGTGTCATGCACAACGATGCGATTGGCCTCCTGAGTTCTGACCTGCCATGACCCCAACAGGTGTATAGCCCCGACCTGAGTCAAAATATAGGTCCCGAACTCAACAACGTCATGTTGATCATCAGGCGAATCCCAAGCTCGCAACAGATCGCGACAAGCATTTTGAGCCAAAAGTCGCACCTGATGTCCCCGTTCGACCTCCGCGCAAGCTTCCATAAAGCCACGTTGTAAAGAACGCAGATTAGCCTGAGGATGCGGGCCAGTGTGATCGGATGAGCCTGCCACCGTAGTCCAATACATCGACCTGAACCAGGAATTAATGTAGCAGTGGTTGGAGGAATTGCACAACTGCATCGCCTGGATTAGACGTTTGCCAGTTTGCGAAGGAGTTCTTGAACTGCCGGGGCTCGCTGCAAATTCTCCTTCCTGTACTGCGCTCCTATAAGTTGCCACGCCGTATTGCCTTGGTAGTCCAACAATCCCTGAAATACCTGGGTGCCGTTGGGATCTCGAATCGACAGGTCCTGAACAAACACTGCCACTCCGGTCTCGTACTGATCCAGCTTGCGTGTGGAGCAGAATCGATGTAGCACCGGGCCCTCGTCCACCATACGTAGCATGTTCCTGATCGATGTAACCAATGTTTGATGCAGTACCGGGACCTTGGTCTTGTCTTGTACCAGGGTACGAGTTTCCTTGCACCACTTCTGATAAACCCACTTTTGCTCCGTGGTGAGCCAACCCGCCTGCTGGCACCGAAGCGCCACAGCCTGATCCTTGGCGACCTCGTCCAGCTTTGTCAACAGCTTCTGCAGAATGGCCATGAACATAACCTCCCGAAGTGGTCGATCCGACATCTCGGTGTTTTCCCTTCCATGCCATTTCGCAGCCACGGCCTGCAAGTACGGAATGATCGAAGTAGTGTCCGGAGTCCCGTCCCCTGTTTTCACAAACCATACCAGGCCTGTGTCGAGGCGGAGAGTCTGAATAGCATCTTCGTGCCGCACCGATGTGCGAACCAATAATCGAACAATCTCCATCAACTGCTCGATCGGCAGCTCCATCTGTGATTGTTGTCCTTGTTTTGATCCTCTGGATTGCTCTTTTCCTTTTCCTTTGCCCTTGTGCTGTGGCGTTGCCGGTGTCCTCGGTGCCTTGTTGGGTAGGCTCTGACGATCTGCTTGGCGCTTTTGATTGATCGACTCCCCTAGCATGGGAATGTCCGAGTTCGCCAGTCCTCCGAAGAACTCCTCGAGCTGTCCCGCCCGATCCACGTCCATGGTCATGACACAAGACCGCACACTGAAAAAGTGGCGTACACTGTTTGGAATGCGCAGTAGCTGCACCCTGCCCACCGACTCGAACCACACCACAATAGCGACACGGTGACAAAATCTGTGCATGATGACGCCGAAATTCATCGGAGTAAGAGCTAAGTTCATCCCATCGATCCCCATGTGTATTGCGATAGTGATTCTTCATCATAAAGGTATGAGCAATCCATGTGTGGCAAATGACGCACCTGTTTTGCATCTCCTGGAATAGGCCGGGTATAAGACGCAACCCCTCAAGCCCGCGATCAGTAATAGCCTGGATCACCTCAGAACGCTGCGTGATCGGGACATGATCCTGTACTGCAAGCGCCTTCACATCACTAAGTGCGGATACAGCAGGTGCATCATGTTTGGCAAAGACGGGACACCAGCCTTTGTTGATGTGCTTGCGAAGAATATCCCACCTGCGGAACTTAGCCCCACAGCCAGAACATGTAGGAAGACCATCTCGGGAGTGCACTGATCGATCAAAGATCATACCAGCGCCGCCCTGTTGCGCAGGAACCATGGGCAGATCCGGAGATTGTGTAGAAGGAGTCACGACACACTCACTTGCCGGGACAATCTGTGCTGTAGACAGTCGTACACTATCTGCAACATCAGCATCAGCATCAGCAGCAGCATCCATGGCAGTCTGGGCACCGCTCAACAGTCGACTGGACTGCCCTGACGTGGTCACTGTGACATTTGGAACTGTCGGAGTCACACCATCCGAAGGTTCAACAGAAGCAGTGTTCGGAGGCTGCAAATCATCGTTGGATTTAGGAGGCTTGTGGCTCTGATGCATGTGCAGTTTCACCGATTTGCGAGAGTCAAAATACACACCACACACGGGACAGGCATGTGGTTGAATCTCTTTGGCCACGTGCGTGAGGCGGTGTTGGGAAGCCTTCAAGGTCTCACTCATTTTGGCATGCCATCCAGCGAGTGTAGCCGTGGAAATGCCAATCGTGTCGTTGATATTTACATCACGGTCACATGCAGCCTTCAGCCAGTCAGATATACCATCGACACGATACTTAGCCAGCAGATCTGCGTCGCTAACGTGAGAGATGTGTGACGGACACGAACAAATGGCTCTGAAATGCTTCATGATGAGAGTCTGTAATTTGCGTTGGAGAGTGGGACCAACCAAGCAACAATCAACTGCATACATGAGCGTCGGCCTAATGGTAGCCATCCACATCCGAATCCTTTGATGAATACCAAGACCTCGTTTGCTCGTAAAGAACTTCTGCAACTGCCAGAATCGAACATTGGCCTTCTGCATCCTGTGTGCAATCGTCTGCGCTTCGAACTGGTCGTATGAAATCTTGGCTCCCAAATACACAGTAGATCGCACCAAAGGGACATGTCGAGTGCCTTTCTCACCCTCAATCACAAACACCAGATTGTTGCGAACCTTGGTGGTGAAAACGCTGCGTGCCTTTTGCTTCAGAGTACCCCTCACGGTGAATAGAATTTGCGCCTTGTCGTCATTTAGGGACATACCGAACTCCTCAAGGGTTTCCATAATGACAGAAAGTTGCCAAACACACTTGCGAAGTTCCTCGTAGCTGTGAAAGGTCCACGCGGAATGCGTGTCATCCGCGTATTGTGTCAAGTGCTCCTGGCAGAATCGAGGGCCAAGTTTTTCGTTCAGTCGTTGACATATAAGCGTCATGAACGCCAAAAAGATTGTAGGCGATCCTCGGCATCCCTGTTTTACTCCGCGTCCCACCTGTAGGCATGAGGTATGTGCACCATTGTGTATTTGGTATTCGGAGCAACTGAGCCAGCCTAATAGAATGGCAGCCAAATCTGGGGGCACCTGCGCTTGTGTAAAGGCATCCCGGATGTGATGCCACGGCACTCGATCAAAAGCGGAACTGAGATCTAAGCATACCTGTAGTCCGCCACATAGTTCCGATGGCCGCCATCCTTCAAAACGACGATGTATCGTATCAGCTTCTTGCTGACAAAGATGCCTAACAGCATCACAGTGTGAGAAAACAACTTGCAGCGCCTGTCGAGTTGATCTTCCAGGCATATAGGCATATAGCGGAAAAGAGCTCGCCCAGTCCTGAACATATGGTTTGAGACGATCCACCAAAAGATGCATCACGGACTTGGCAACCGCATCCTGAAGTCCAATAGGGCGCCAGTCTTTCACCTCTGAGGTTTTCTTGCCTGGCTTTGGGAGAAAGATGAGCTCGGCTATACACCATATGCGTGGGAAGATGAGATGCTCAGTACTCCACATATATCGAAGCAGCTTGCATAGAGCAGGGGCCAATTCCTGCTCGCAGATATGATAAACCACACCCGGCACAGAACCAGATGACACCGCCTTGCGCATGGGTATCTGCTGAAGGTAGGCCCGCATTTCAGCTTCACTGACCTGAAAAGTGGTGGACAATCTCTGCTCACCTTGACCCTGAGGCGCTTTTGCAGTGTCGTATAAGTCTTCGTAGTACTTCACCATAGCCTGCAGTTCCTCCTGTGGAGACAGCATTTGTCCTTTCGGCTTGATTTGAAACTTTTTCGAAGGAGTCTTAGGAGCTAACCGACGAACAATGCGATACAATGTCCATGTGTCATGTCGCTGCGCAGCATGTTCGGCCTCCTCGAGAGCATCAGTGATGCGTTGTTTGCGTAATATTTTGCAGTATTTGCCATGTTCACGATGCAATTGACTGAACAGACACCAGCATCTCCAAGCCCGAAAGATGCCCCGTTCTGTCCCCCGGAACGAACGCATCCTACGAAAAAGCTCCCACATACGAGCCGCACGACCTGTTTGGAGTTGATTCTGCCATGGAACTGATGAGGTCGAACGCCGTGCCGGATACAAAGACACTGCAGTGGTCAGCATAGAGTGATTTAACTGCTGCAAACAAGCTTGAGGGTCACATGGTATCTCGCATTCTTGACTCCAAGCACCGACCACATTTTTGAGAGCAGCAAAATGTTCTAGTTCACCCTTTTGAACTTGCTGAGAGAGAGCAGCAACATCGATGTTGGTCCGAGGTTCCCGATGGGAATGTGTTTGCCAAGTTCGGGCCACACAAGTCTTCACAGGAAAATGATATGCAGCATCATCCGAGATATGGCGACCCACCGGGAACTCGTAATCAGCATGCGCACGTTTGGCATCGCGATCAGCATGAGCAACACGAGTAAAGATATAGTCAAGCTGTGATGTACGTGGTCCGAACTTGAAAGTATAGCCAGGTGCAGTTCCAAACGTGTTCAATGCAACAAGTCCATGCGCGCGCAGGATATCTTGCAACTCTGTAGAATCCTCAGCGGCGTAATAGTTAGGCACACCGCACCCAACCAAACGTCCTTCAGGCTGGCATGTAGCGTTGCAATCACCAGCAATGATCATACAGCTGCGTTTAGGAATGGAGTGGCACAGCCCGGAAAGTTGAGTCCACACCGTATGTCGTATAGACAGGTTGCCCGGCTTCCACACGTGTTGATATATACCAACAATGTTGTAGGCATTGGAACATCCGTGTGGAGTGAACGAAACCCTTAACAGATGACCAGGATTGACCTCGTGAAATCGCAGCGCATGTGAACTAACCAACTGACGGGATACAATCACGAGAACTCCACCACTTCCTCCCTTGGTCCCGGTCCCAGAATGAATATAGTGGAAATGTTGATCAGTCCAAGTACTAGTGAATGTCCACTTCGTTTCCACCAACACAGCAATCTCAGTTTTTGATCGGAATAGCCATAACAGAAACTGATCGTAGACTGCACTTGCACCACCACAATTCCATGTGAGCACACTGAGTCGACGACCAACGGTGGGAGTATCATGTCTTCTTCGAGCTGGGAGTCCTGTGTTGGTACATAGTGTAGAAATGCTACCCGGAAGTTGGAAAGGACGGCCTCGGTATGTAGTCGAACCATGTAGTAGGGCCCTGCGACATGCTCGGTTGTACGCCCTTTTGCGTTGCCACGGGATAGACGCATCCTGTAGCCCGCCAGCGCCTTGTAATGGGTCAATCGATGATCGAGCGGCGCCAATGACCTGAGGTTGAAGACAGAAGCTGAAGTACCACACAAGAGCATAAAACTTGCTGAGGGATGGTCTGCATATAAGACGACGAGGTGTACCATTTCGTCTCGGGCTAGATCTCGAACTGATCCTGTTCCGGTGATTCATAGGGTGCACAAAAGCGTTATACACCTGAGTGAAAAGTCCACCGACCTGTCTGACCAATCCATCTCGTGAAGAGTCCCATCGAGACCTGCGTCGAATGAAGCGTCTAACCGGCGCTCTACGAAACCTCCACCATCTCCACATGCGTGATCTGAGGAAATTGGAATGATTGAGAGCGTGCCTGTTGGCGGCACGACACCCCGGAATAACATGAACTGATAAAGTGTAAGATGCTGCGAATTCAAATGCTCGAGAATCATGATGCAAATGTGGCCAAAAGTTGAGTGTACAAGCTGCACCCTGGGGCAATACCGGCACATCGCCGCGCTGTTTGCCAAGTAGGTTTGCGATACATACATAAGTTCTGCACTCACGAGCGGCTTCAGTGATGGCCTCGGCAACCACCACAACCCTCGCACCATCCACGTTGTACAACTTGTCTTCAATCAAGGCGAAACTCAGCACAACGTGGACCGCGGACTTGGGACCGCGCACGGCTTCGATGGAATTGTAAATGACCTGAAAGTGCGAAATCAAAGAATGAGTGGTGGACGCAAGAAAATGGCTTGTGCTGTGCACTGGCATGAGCAATCTCGTATATGCGGACCCCGACTGCGGCGCTTCCGAAACTTTCGCAGTCTGCTGTACAGTATCTGCAACAGATGGCGCGCTCTCGGTCGGAGCACTTATCGTTGACGAGGTACTCAAGGCCTTCAGTCGCATCAGCTCAGCTCGTTGCATAAATTGCTCCTTCTGCCACAATAGGAGCGCTCGTCGACGCTCGTCGGACAACACTCGAGCCTTTAAGGGGTCAGTCGCGTCATCAGCCCGCTCCACATTGGGGTCCACGGACCCAGTAGATATAGCAGCTGCATCCCCCGTCGGAAGTGGCTGAAACGTAACTGCAGTGTCCTGTGTATCATCCGCATCTGGATTCCTGGACTGCCTCGATGTAGTCTTCCGGTACGCCGGTGGAATAAGGACACGGGTACGACGTTTCACATCACTCTGGACTCGACGAATACTCTCCCGCAAAGAGCCTCTGATTTTCAAGAATCGCCGCCTTGGATGCCGCTTAGACCCATCAACTGCGGCTGATCCCGAGCAGGAACCTTGGCCAGAATGTGTACCATCAACTCGACGAGCTTCACACTTGGGACGAGGTCGAAGGCGAACACTGGAACCTTTCTTCGTGTCATTGCCACTCTTAGGTTTAGGTTTGGCAGCAGTCGCCGCACGTCGATCAACCCGTGCATCCGATCCGGCAGCAGCCCTCGAGGAACCAGGACCACGTGGAATGTCGCTGATGTCGATGATTCTCATCCTTCTGGGACCTAGGTCGATCTCCATTAATTTGGCTCCACGTGGGTGTGCCTGTGCAAGTTCTGTAGACATTGGTAGCACGATCTCAGGATCCCCATATTGACTCAAGAGTGGCACTTCCTTAATTGAAAGGGAACTTACAGGCTCCACGTCCAGCATCCGATTTGTAGTCCAGCTGCGTTGAACACCTTTCTTGCTCCTATTTCGCGGCAACGGCTCCCGCTGGCAGCTCCGCTTGCGCAAGATGGGATTCCGAACAGCATCAGGCGCTTCGGGAGAGACATGTCGATCATTTCGCCGTCTCGGAAGAGGCGGTCTGGAGTCTCCGGCTGGTCGCGGTTCCGGATTGGTCGGCGTGTAAACATCTGACATTGGAGGAACTCTGCTGGAAATCTCGTTTATGGGTGGCACAGTATTATAGGAAATGCAGTACACCGCTGGGTGAGAAGTCGTAGTCTGAGTAAGAAGCGCAACAGCTTGTATGAACGGGATAGGCTGATAAAGTGATCTACCGCAGAACATCACATGCATTGCGAAAGCCCTCCGCTGCAGCGACAGCAAGACGCAACGGAAGAACAACATGCGGCACTCTCTCATTGAAACTGAGCCACTTTCCCACTGAGGTCCAAACCCTGAATAGCACAGCCACGCAGTAGTCGATATGCTTGCTGAGCCTGAACACATGTGGTATCGGTGGGTCTGAAGAAGGACCGATCGTTCATGCTTGCACCTGTCGGTATCCACCCAGTGCCATGTATCCTGTGCAGAATAGCTGTAGAATCTTGCAGTGCATTCGATGCGGTAACCTGTCAGTTCCTGAGGGACCAGCCAACAGCCATCACGTAGCCATGGATACTGAAGTGATACATCACTGCCCTGTTGTGCCATGCATGGTTGTGGGGCCTTCTGCATCTTCAATGTCCGATGCTGCTGATAACCCTGATCCGTCACGCAGTGCATCTGCAAAGAACTGTGGCCGAGGATTTGACTGTATGCGCAAGATAACATGTTTGTACAGTTCCATGTAAAATTTTTCCCTATAGGATCCCTCAAGCATGTACCTGAAAAAGCGCAGCGCTGCAAAAGTATCTCTGGACCCAAGTTCAGAGTGCAAATGTTGCATGATCTCCCTGCACTGGGCATCGCCTTCGTAATCATATTGCCGGAGGTAAAAGAAAGTG